TATGAAACATCCTGAGTGTGATCACACAGCACTTACAGGACAGCCTGTAGGGATCAGAGGGATAACACGCAGCCGCCACAGCTTAGGAAGGGCAGATCCTGCCTGATCTCCTTTGATGACCTGGTGACACATCTGATAGACAAGTGAAAGGATCTTGATGTTATCTACCTGGAGTTCAGAAGAGCATTTGGCACTGTCTCCCTCAGCATTCTTCCGGAAAAGCTGGCAGCCCACGGCTTGGGCAGGTGCACCCTTTGCTGAGTTAAAAACTGGCTGGATGATCACGCCCAGAGAGTGCCGGTGAATGGTGCTGCATCCAGCTGGCAGCCCGTCACTCTGGGGCTTCCACAAGGCTCACTGCTGGGCACAGTTCTGTTCAATATGTTTATTGTCCTGATCAATAACTTAAAAATTTGGATGAGGAGATTGAGTATACCCTGACTAAATCCAGAGTCTACACCAAGTTGGGCAGAAATGTTGATTCTGCTGGAGGGCAGGAAGGCTCTGCAGAGGGATCTGGACAGGCTGCATCGATGGGCTGAGGCCAGTGGGGTGAGGTTCAACAAGGCCCAGTGCTGGGTCCATGACCTTCTCACTCCCTGAAAGGAGGTTGTGGCCAGGTGGGGGTCAATCTCCTCTGCCATTCAACCAGTGACAGGATGAGAGGATGTAAGTTCAAGCTGCACCAAGAGAGGTTGGAATTGGACACCAGGAAGTTTTTCTTCACAAAAAGGGTGATTAGACATTGGAATAGGCTTGGTGATCTCAGAATTCTTTTCCAATCTAATTGATACTGTGATAATGTGAATGCTTTTTTGGAGTCTACTAGACAACATGTGATCACATTACCAAATTTTTTGCACCACCTTTCTGATGTTTCATCTTTTACTCAGGCTTTGTAGCTAATCCTACGAAATGCAGCAAATAACCAGGAGAGAATAATTAGTTAAAAAAAATAATTTAATTTCACTTAAAAATTAATTAAAATCCCACATAATTAATTAAAAATTCAGTGGGATTCAGTGGAAATTGTTAAGGGAGTCAGGTTTGCTAAAGAATGTCTACCGAATTCTTGAGCAACTTTTGATGGCAGGCAGATAAAAAGGAATAATTTATAGATCTTAATTCAAAAAATCCAAACAATTATGATGTTTTCAAAATATAAATGGTCAGAAACGTAAATAAACGCATATTCTAAGCAAATAGAGGCTCCTGTCTTTTCATCGGGTACTTTTCAATCCTGTCTGATAAATATTTTAGAGATACACACTATTTTTAAGAGTTCACGTGGTTATTGGAGCTGTAGCAAGGTTAAATACTTTGGTAATTGGAGTAGCACATCACCTGCTCCAGAGACCCTGAATTACATACGTTGTGCTAGTGGGCTCTGCTGTAGGACCTCACTTTTGAGATCACAGGTGAATGGAACACTTCACTGGCTTCATTACATCCCATTCATATTATTTCCCCATGACAGATTTAAGCTTTTCTTACCTGAAAAAAAGAATTGGTAAAAATATGTGTGTATATTCTGTGCTGGGTAGAACACAGTTCACACAAAACAGCGAGACAGGTAAGTGTATACTGCTATTCCAGAGTAGGGAGTGGTGCTGTGCATCAAGACCAAGACTGGAGAGTTCCTGTGTAGCACTTTGAAATTATTGAATCAAAGTTGCAAAAAGCATTAAAATGTGTGGTTTGCACAGTAGCACAGCAAAGTGCTGGTTTGTCCTCTGCTTATTCCCTAGGTGATACCTAAAACACCATTAGTGTATTTTTGACATTTTCCAGTTTTATTTCAGATCTGAATTATTACTAATGTCTAAACTACATCCTCACAGCTAATTTTAACATTTCCTTTATAGATTTGGGGTTTTTTTTAGTAGTTTGCTCTTTTTCCTTCAGTGGAGCCCTTAATATAACTTTTCTGTTATAGACATCATGTTTCTGCTAAAAAAAAACAAACTAATATTTGTAGCCCTTTCCTCTAGCATCTCCAGACAAATCAAGTTTTTTTAGTAGCTTGTTCTTTTTCCTTCAGTGGAGGCCTTAATGTAACTTTTCTGTTATAGACACCATGTTTCTGCTAAAAAAAATAACTAATATTTGTAGCCCTTTCCTCTAGCATCTCCAGACAAATCAAAACATGACCTGGAGCCATTCACCTTGACCTTCTGTGTGTAAATTAGTTACTTTTCCAAGATTTCCCCCCAGAAACACATTAACAGATAACTGCTAAGTTTTGCGTACCACAGAAACTCTGATTCTCTGGTCAGCCCTTGCAAATGACAAAAAATGGAGATACGTGCATATTTCTCTGAGAACAATAATTTGAACATTTTTTGTCACATTAAAAGCTAGAATAACATGCATAAATTGTAAAATTGATCACTGGAAGTATGTGTTCACCAGAATAACTTTTAAAAGCAAGATTAATTCATTATTTTCACTCTGCAACTTCTATTTTTTCTTGAAAATGCAAAACCTATAGTGAACTTTTCATACTGATCAAGCAACCTGCTTCACACAGTCCTTACTGTGAAAAATAAAGTTGGTTTGGCCCTTGATAACAAAATAATTTATTCTAATGCACGCACTGTATTTGCATAGAGCCAACACTGAAACTTTGCAAATAAGCTCAGGCAGATACAGAGGTTTTGGCAAGTGTCCCTGTGATCAATTACTAGCAGACATGACAAGGTGCTATAAGACATCATTAAACAACAAACACGTGTACAGCAAAGGGTGTGTATCAGACCCCATTTTATAGTACAGAGATAAGGAGCACTAACCAAACTGTTCTCTGTGTAATTTGACTATCAGTGTAGGTGAACAATAGTAAATAATAATTTACCTGAATATGTGCAATATATGTATAAAATTTCTGATGTGAGTCAAAAATGGTGAAATATTGCACAATATAAAAACTCTTGTTTCCTATAATATGCAAAGTACAGTTCAGATTTATATGAAGGTTGTTATCAAATGGCTTAAAATAATTTAAAACAAAAGCATTAATCTAAGGGAGTATTGTTGAAGAATACAGTAATTGTCACAGAATTTATTCTCTTACAGCCTATTCTTTGTAAACACTGAAGAATGTTGGTCTTAGAAGCAGCACCCTGGGAGACAGCCTTTGTGTGTGAGAAATTATTCTTCAACATTGTATCTGGATGAGAAAGAAAGTTTCATATCCTAAGGATATATTTATAATTAGAATGGTGTAACTGAATCAAAGACATTGTTCTTAGGAAACAGACATTAGTCTGCTGAGGTTATTTTAGGGTGGGGCAAAGGGCAACTCTAGGTTTGTTCCATTATTAAGAAACCATTTTTCTCTATGACATGGATTTTTGGTTGTTGTTTTTTATTGTCCTTTCATTAGTATTTATTAATTATGTTCTTCTTATTCCTTGTAGAAGTAGAGATTTTCCTTCTTGTCCTGGAGTGGCACATACATGTATACACTCAGTGCAGATGAAAAGAAAATCTCCCATGGCTGGTCTTCCCATCACAATTTTCCCACTGGTCACTGGACCAGTCTGGGTGCTGAAGCTGGTGTTACTGCTTCAGTATCTGCACTTCAATACTGCCTGAGGTGTCTTCAGGTCTCCTGTGACACCGCACAAGGGAAACAGAGTGCTCCCAGAGACTTGTGAGTTGTCCCTGGTGATGGCTGACCAAGGGCCCTGGAAAGAGCTTTGGAGTTCAGCAGTGACAGTGTTTTGGGAAGTGCTCACAGTGAGTCCATGCAAGCTCTTTCATTAGATTGGGTAACAGTCCTGTGCATCCTATAAAGCAAACACATGAAAGAATCCAATGTAAGTTATACAAAGACAGGTCCCTGCTGCACTTCTATCAAGTGGATTTTAACATGCTGGTGGAGATTTCTTTAACTGCATGATGTCCATATAAAACCCATATCCAAAAAATCCTGTTGAAAACCACCTGCTGACAAATGCTGAGAAACTTCTTCATTTTAATTTACAGCTCAGTTTCCAAATGTTAAAAACAAATAAGAAGCTGAGAGAATACATGTGCTCCTTAAATAATAGCTACAGTGTGCCACACCTAAACAGCCATGACCTAGATGGCAAGGAGGGTGAAGGAAGGAAGCTCTTTTATTTCAATTTTCCAGGCCAACTGTCTTTTTCATTACACAATGTTAATGCCAAGAAGTTCAAATTATTCAGCAGAATTTATTGTACAAAATGAAATAAATATATTCCATATGAAAATGTAGTCTACAAATTTTGATATTTACTGGAACTGTGGGATGGAGAAAATGCATGTTTCTCAAATAATCTGGACATACATTATTCAAACAGTGCTGACAAGGCTAGGTAGACTGAAAGCTACACAGACCCCTTTCTGATTTCTTAGGAAGTCAAAATCCTCATCTCCTTATTTTTACTGGCTTTGATTCTCTTTGTCTACCTGGATACTGGCCTGGCATCTAAGGAAACGCAGGCAGTTATTTTGCCTAGGCAATATATCCTCACCATCCATCATTGCCAAGTTCGAGTGGCAGAGGTTCTGGATCCTCTTTCACCGCTGCATAGCTGGGGGCATAGTCTGTAAAAGTTTCATTTAAAGAAGATATACACTCAGTGACATCAAATGCGCAGCTTAATAAGAAAAAGAGGCATCCCCAGCCCTGCAAACCGCTGTTGCCCAGGGTTCCCAGGGCGGGGGTGGTGGGTGTCCCGACCCCGGAGCCCCCTTCCAGCGCAGCCATGAGGCAAAGGCACGCAGCCTTGGGCAGCGCCAGGCGGGTCTCCTCCAGGGAGTAAAACCAGGAGGGAACAGAGTGGGACAAGCCGGAGGCAGAGCCTGCAGGGCACAGCACCGCGGGCCGCGCCGCGGGCGCGGAGCGAGGGGCGGGAGACGGGAGGAGCTGCGTCCGGCCCCTCCGCGGCCGGGGACCGCAGGGGGCGTGGAGGAGGAGGAGGAGGAGGAAAAGAAGGAGGAGGAGGAAGAGTATTTGGGGGCGGCTCGGAGCAGGTGGCGCCCAGTGTCGCCCTGGGAAGCGGCCAGCTCGGAGCGGCCCCGGCCCGACCTCGCCCCGCGCCGGCCATGGGCTCCGCGGGCACGGCGCCTCTGCTCCTCGCGCTGGGTACGTCTGTCCGTCCCGCCGCTCCGGGCAGCACGGAGGGAAGGAGGGAAGGAGGGAGGGAAGATCCACCGGCGAGGTGCGGAGCGGGAGCGGCCCCGCCGCGCCGCCGGGCCGGGCGGGGAGGCGCGGAGGGTGCGCGGCTGCGAGCGAGCGCGATGCATCGGCGGCGATTTTAAAGCAGGTTAAACTCCTGGAGTGGCGTAGATTGCACTTTCCCCTAAATGGACTGTGTGTGCGCGCGCTGGAGCGGAGAGAAAGGGGACAGTCTGATGTGTGAATTTAGGATTATATGATGGTTATACCTTTTTAGGCGCGAAGATGATGTTACCTGAATGCTGCTCCTCTTTGCAAGAGTCCTCTAGGTCTGTAACTACACTGTTGGGCAGATGTCACTCCTTGGACAAGGATAGGGAAACTTGAACCATCTCCTCCTTCTCTTGGCTAACTTAATTACCATTACATCTATTTTCCTGGGAACTATAAGCAATCATATTCACTTGCCATGAGCAAATTCCCAGGCAGTTTCAGAGTTTTAATATTACTGTATACTCTCAAAAACCCTTAATTAGCAAGTCACCGAAAAGGCAGCATGAAAATGAGTTTTCACTGATGAGCTGTTCTAACTTGTTCTTTCAGTAACTATAGCGAACACTGCAGTGGAATGTGTGGCTGCAGGGTATGAAATAAAATACAAAAATATTAACCTGTGATGTGGTATATAGAACAAAAACAACCTGGCAATTTTTTTCTAAAAAAGAAAAATTCTGAAAAGTACCAGTGGGCAAAACATTCCACCCTGTACTTCAGCTTAATCTATCCTTTATTCTCCTGGTTACAGCTACTGAAAACCAGGACCATTAGCATTCACTGTAATTCATGGGGTCTTAAGACTTGCAGAGTTTGTAGAGCAGTGCTGAAAGCAGAAGATAAGGGCTGATTGTGAGAGGAGAATTCCTCTGGCATTTTGAATGACAGAAGTGGGATAGGTCTGCTTCGTTCAGGCACTACCCATGATTTATCTCAATTTAGACATCTGAAAGCTGTCATAATTTTGATTTCAGATGTGTCATGACATTTGATGATAGTGGATGCAATTACTGGGTTAATACTTACTAAGGCCTTTTTGATCTAGCACCAAAAAGTTTCAGACAGGAGAGTTTTCCTTAAGTGTTTTTAGTGTTCTGATGGTACTATGGTGGTACTCTTGTAGCTCTCCCACGATAATTTTCAAGTTGCTTGAATTCTAGTGAGCTGGTTTACTTTCATAGGTGATACTCTTAAATTTAATTGGGATAGCTTGGCTGAATTAGTCTTTACTTCTAGAAAATATTCCAAGTTGTCAGTATATTAACTTCTGAATTATCAGCTGTATTAAATGGGTCACATGGGGTGCTTTGCTGTGTCTCTAAATTCAACTAAAAATAGTGCAACAGTGAAGTAGTGGGTTACTCTTTGCTGATGTGTACTTTTGTGTCTGGAACATCATTAAGACTTTGTAGATGCTACAAGAAGAACAGATCTGAAACAGAACTATCATTTTGATAGCATGACTTTGTTAACAACCGTGTAAATTGTTGACCAAAAAGTGTATAGCATAGAGAAGTAGATTATGTCAAGAGGAATAAATGATGCATTAACAGGGCAACCTATGCAACAACGCCGGAAGCTTTTCTGTTGCTACATGCTGCTGATAGATTTGCCACGTCAAGTTCTTTAAATTTACATTTTAAGTATGCATTTTTTTCCGTATCCTGTCCTTAAAAGTCAGAGCCAAAACAGCCCCACTCTCTATGAGAATGAAGCCAGTGGCAAATACAGTAGCTTTCCTGGGCTCAATTCTGGTAACATTTTCTTTGGAAAGCTGTAGTGTCATGCTTCAGAGGAGATATTTGAAATTTGGCAGGAAGGCACTATTTGCATTGTCTACCTAAATTTGGCCAGGTAACAAGTCTGTGCAAAACTATATTCCTCTGGAAAGAAATGCATTTTTATCAGCTAGTTTCTAAGTTAATTTATGTCCGCCTTGTTGTGCACCTTAGTAAGATGTTTCCGTGTGAGGTCTTAGATCTACACTTGCAAATACAAAAAACTTCTCTCTTGACTTCTCATGCTGTTTGTTAGTTTCAAAGCACTGTCCATAGTTTTTTAAGTCACTCTGCTTTCCAGTTTGCTTCTGGATGGTGGTCTCCTGATTGTCTGTACTGCATGCTCTTAACTGCTTCCTGGGCTTCAGATGAACCAGCTTGTTCTCCTTTTTATAACAATTAACTTCAGAGTGAATACCAAGTGATAGTGTTGGAGGACCATACATAGGGGAGGAAGTAAAATTTGGGGTGACCTTGCCTATACTATCTCAGCAAGCCTTCATATTGAAGACTAACATGCATCTTCCTCCAGCAATCCAGGATGTGAATGATACAACTCCTAGCACATTCATAAAATCTCCATTCTGTGAAGTACACATCCCTTGAACTCTTTAATTCTGGAATGAAAACTTGCAGCGACATGAGGGATATGCCTTTTGGGATACAGGTTTACCACATGAGTGCCCTGGATTCTCAAGGTCTCTCTGTGGGACCCAGGCAGATGGAAGGAGAAAACAGGTCTACCTGAATTTGGGGTGTCTGTGTAGAATAGCGAGTTTCCAGTGATGGAAATTCTGGTAAGTAATAGGTTGTAAGGCCCTACAGAGGAATAGGAGACCCAACCTACAGACTCTTTTTTTTCAGTATGCTTTTGTTTAAACTGGGATGGAAGCTGTGATAATGGCATTTAACATGCAAAACGTGGAAAGCGCCCAGTTAGCCACCTGGATTTGTCTCTTTTGCACGTCAGTGCATCGTGCTGTCACCGTCTATGAACAGAGAAAGATGGTGTGGTCAGATAATGAACTGGAACTCCTGCCTTTCTTAGTTTTAAAATTAGAAAGTGGTCTAATGAATGAGAATGAAATGTAGGATTAAGAGAAATAAATTTCTCTTTTTTCCTTACAAAAGTGGATTCTCACTCTCTCCCTCTTTTTTTTTTTCCCCACAAAAGCTGAGTACAATTTCAGACAAGTCATTTAAATCAAATCTTTGACATGTGGTTGGAGCTTTTGTGTTCTTCTCTTTCTCTTTGCTCAGCCAGGGCTTCTCAAAACTGAAGCTGCGTTTTCACGATCTGGTTAAGCTGACCTGAATGTGGAGCTGACGCTGCAAGGACATTTCATCCACTCCTGTTTGCATGTTTCCACCAGTTCCTCTGTGCTATCTCTATGGTTTAGTCTCGGGAACAGGTCAGGGACCCATTTGCTTGAATAATTTTTTCCCCCTTTTGAGCCAGGTTAGTTTTGGAGATGAGCTAAACTGATCCTGCCCACTTGAGCAAATTATTTGTTAGTGCTGGCACGGGGTACAGTCAGAACTCGTGGCCAGAGGAGGGAGGAAAGCTGGAAAAGTCTCTGTCACAGATAGCTGTTACTTCCACTGGCTTGGCTGGTTGTGCAAGTGCATCTTGATGTGCAAAACTGCTGTGTACTCACAGCTGTGACTGAAGTAAATGGAAATTGTATTTCAAATGTGAGCAAAAAAGGGTTTAGCTGTATCTCTAGATATCCAAAAGTGGTAAGTACTTTTTTTTTTAATGGAGGTAAGGATGGTCTCTCATTTCGTGTTGAAAAATAAATCCTCTGTCACATGCAAATACTTAAATGTATAAGACATGTAGACAATAATCAACAAGGAAGCTGCTAAAATTAAAATCATATACATAAAAGGACATGGCAATGTACAAAGGAGAATGGACTAAACTGATAACTGAATAGCAAATGGAAATGGAATATTTTGTGCAATAAATGAAGGTAAAAGTTGGGGTGAAAATGTTTTTAATGTGCAATCATGCACACCAAGTTAAATCTGTACAGCCTATTTTGATTTCTGCCTTTCTCCCTCTTTGAGATCATCTTTTGATGCCTTGATGTTTTGTTATCATATTCGTGAGTAATGTTAATGTTAAAAATTATTGTATAATCTGGAGATGGCTTGAAAGGAGGACCTAAACATGAACTCTTCTTAAAGTAAACCTGTCTCTAGTTTTTCCCTCTTTCTGAGGTAGCAAGAAGTAGCAGCACCACTATGTATTATTTTTGGAGTTTTGCCTCTCACAGCATTGCAGATTGAAGTAAGGCTTCATTCATACTGCATTACAGGACTTGTATTTTGTATTATGTTTATTTTAGAAAGCATACTGGCTATTACCATCAGACACCTAAACACATTAACAGTTAATATTTATTTGTGCATAATTTGGTCAAAGTCTACATGAGATCCTACCAACAAGTTTTAACTGTGTGCTGCCTCTGTCTGGAACAACATGTGAATTGTTCTTTGCTTTTTTGATTCAGTATCGCAGAACTTTAATTTAAGAAGTTAAAGAAGTAAAAGTACAGCTACTCCTTTTTTTCATTGTGCTTCCCAGCTACTATATAAATATTATTCATTGTGGTCTTTCTTCACTATTGTGATTTTGAATGAATGAAAGTGGGGTTTGTATGTACTTCATGTGTTGTATTTTCATGAGGGCTAATAACTGCAACTACCAGTGTAATGGCTTGATGTCAAAACAGCTAAGTGTGAATAAAGTACTTTCCTTTAAGATTAATGCAGGTAAAAGGGGGTTTCTGCATCTCCAGATGAGTAAAACAAGTCATTTTCCCCAGCAGAAATCTTGTGCAGCCTCTATCCAGTGTTGTTATTTTCATTTAAAGGTTTCCTTTGTTAGGCTCTGTGCAGGCTGGTTCCCATTTCCATGGTGACCGTGCTGAAATGCAGACAGGACACAGACTGGATTCTCATCGGCATAGCCATGCACTTGCATACCAACACATGTTATCTGCTTGGCTTAGGACATTTTCATTAGCAGTTTTAATGTTTAGAGCTTCTTTTCTCTGGACCTTTTAGATCACATAGTGATCTCTGGCCCTGTGATAGTGCACAGTATTGGGATTTCAGACCCTGTGC